TTATGTGGATTTCCATGCTATATTTCCCAGACATTTTAGCTGGCAAGTGTATGGGTCACTACTCATTCCCTATCAATTACCGATAAGGTAAGAGCGACAACTGAATCGGAGCTGCGTGCTTCTGAACCTAGCGTATATAGGAGAAGGAACAAAGAGTATAACTAGTAAAGGGAATAATTACATAGTTGGTTACAATGTAACTCATTTTTGAAACAGGGACTTGTGAAATTCGTAAACTAGTATAATTATGGATATACAGTTGAGAAATTTTAGAAATTGAGCAACTTGTTTACAGTATTTTCTTTATGTGTATGATCGAATTTATTTATGAAATGATATACGTTGTATCATGTATACTAACATGGTTGAGGTAACACTACTGAAAAAAAATCGGTGTGTTACAGTACATATGTGCTTGCTGACATGGATAGGCATGTATAACAGTTTAGCGTGCACAAAAGTAACACAGGGAGGAGAACTCACAGTCCAATGTAAACATGAATATACATTATAAATATTTGCACACAATGACATAATTGAAAATGTATAATTTATTAGTGTTTGATAAAACATACCCAAGGTATTCTGATAGCAATAGAAACAGAGGCAATATTGGTCTGCCATGGGAAAACACTAAGACCGGGTTTGGTATATTGGAAAAAGTTTTAGTTTTTATTTCGTTAATTTGTATATGTACATAACAATAAGTATATAGATAGTTAAGTATACATGTAGGTACATACATAAAGTTATCCTTTTAAGCGCACAATATATATATATATAAATATACATGTACATATGTATCCATATATGTGTGTATATATTCACTATATTTTGTAAATATACATTTCTGTATGAATATGTATATCCCTATTAATAGAGAACAAAACATAGATACATATATAGGTATAGAAGTTGATATAGACATATATATGTATATGTACATATATTTATACATACGTATTATTATTATGTGTGGTACTAACTTAAGTATAGATAAAAATAATTTTCTAAAAGTTAATAAAAGCAGCTATTTTATTATATTCAAATTCATGTTGTACTTACCAAGACCATCTAACTTAGATGATTGAGAGTTAATGACTCACTTCTATTACTATCCCCCATTTCGTGTTAAATAGAAAATCATGCTGTAGTTTTATTTTTATTTTTTCTAATTTTTTTTCAACCATCACATTTTTTTATGTATCAACATATATGTTTATACGAAGTAAAACTTAAAAAACATTTTCGTGGACCACAAGGAACCTAAACGTATGATCATCTTAAAATAGTCATGAGTTCTTACAATCTTCGATTTTGGTAAATCTGACCCTAGTTTTCATGATCTTGATATCTTGTGCTAAAAAAACTGATTGTTTATAGTTATAAAGTACTCAAGATCTTGGACAATTGGTAATAATGGTAAATTCTCGGTCAAGACTTTCTACCATTATCTGGCCCCATACAACAGAACAAGTAGACCAAATTTCCCAACAAAAATGATCAGGAACAGTGCTGCCCCTCCTTGGGTTTCTTTTTTCACATGGGAAGCAACCAAAGAAAGGATTCTTACCTTGGATAATCTCATAAAAAGAGGTATTATTCTGGCTAGTAGATGCTTTCTTTGGAAAGAAGATGCTGAGTCTTGTAACCATCTCTTACTACCTCGTCCTTTCACTCATAAACTATGGTCAATGATACCTGGGTTACTAGGCACCAGCTGGAGTACTGCAGGCACTATACAAGGTGAATTAAAAGCTTGGGAATTTCTATGCAAACGAAAAAAGAATTATCGACTTATTCCCCTTACAATATTTTGGATCCTATGGAAAGAAAGAACAACCGTGCTTTTGAAGGTAAATAGGATAGTTTTGGAAATATCAAGGATAAATGGTTTCACTTTTTTGGGTCCACCATACTCGGACGTCACTTTTGTAACCTTGATGATTTTGATTTTATTGTAAATATGCTCTTAGATTTGTAAATTTTTTGTACATGGACGGCACCCCTTTGGTGCCTACACTCAATATATTTCTTACCCTTTTATCGCAAAAAAATAAAGTACTCAAGATCTGCTTCTTATAACGAGTAAATGCAATTCAAAGTGTTAAAGAAATCTTGCTTGTGAAATGGGCAAAACCAAATACTAAAACTTACAGTTGTTCTAGTCTCCGGCAATTTCCAAGATCAGGAGGGAGAGAACCAGAGAAGTTATTTGCCCCAATAGCACTGCATATAAAAAAAAAATTGTTTCTGTAAGTTTAGATTGTCAAGGTTCAGTAAGTTATTGAGGAAGGAGGAGCATCAACTAGTCATTGTTTTTAATTTAAAAAAAAAAAGACTACATGGACTATTAGCCTATTCTGACCACTCCAACTAATGACATTTAGTAGCCACGAATAGATATCTTCCCACCAAATGTGGTGATTCAAGTCATTCCACGAGAAACGTACTCTTCTAAATCATGCACATTTTAGGGAAGATCTAATTGTTTTATCTTTTCTTTAGTAATAACTGATCAAAAAAAAGAAAAAATTGAAGATTATAATGCTGGCAGGAAGAGGAGTTTGAGAAGATGAAAATTATTTGAGAGGGAAGTCACTCATTTCAGTAGAAAAAAAGAACTACCTGTGCTTTGATAAATTACATGAAAAATTAGATCAACTTACAATGATCTTAAATCAGTAAGCAATCCAACTTCTTTGGGAATCTCTCCTGATAATGAATTGATGCCAAAGGTCCTAATCAACATAGGTTAAACATCAGAATAAGAAACCTCTACATTCAATCTCTTATAACTCCAAGCAATAGATGTTTTGGAATGAAAATCAAATTTTCCTTACAGCCATTGCATTCGTGTCAGATTTCCAATAGATCTAGACAAGGGACCTGTCAAGACATTTTGGCCTAAATTCCTGTAGGAAAAAGAGAGAGAGTTCGTTACAAGACGTAACAAAAAGTTAACATATTCAAGTAAAACTAGTTTATTGATTAATTCATTTCACCAAATCCTTAGTTTTGGTCAAGTGTATGCGTAGTCCTCAAAACTTTGAAGCATATATCAGTTTAATTTCCAACTTTTAAATAATTCAAAATCTTTGTCTGACACCGTTAAACAAGCAACTGAAAAGGAAAATTGCATGACACTCTGCTGACCCATATATCATATTTTGGTGACAAAAAGAAATTAACCACACCATTTTCATTCACACTCAAGTTAATTATTAAGCTGAGATAGAGTTCCAAGTGATTTTCTTCATATTTAGTCATTAAAAGTTGAAGAAGTAGGAGTTCACCAAACCAAACTCCTTTTCGTTTGATCCAATCTCAAGCAAAGCGGGATCCAGCAGTGGCTGGAAGAAATCAAGTATAAAGTAGAAGTAGAGCTAATTTCCTCATAGATTAAGAAAAGACATCATACAGATTGGTGAGGCGAGTCAGAGTCCATAGCTCCTCAGGAATTGGTCCCTCGACGGATAGTCTGGAAACCTTCCTGCAAAGAGAATTTCGCGCGAGCAAAATGAAAATCAAATACGAAAAATTCTGGTTTAAGTAAAGTCAGATTAATGTTTTGAGAAAAAAACAAAAATACATGGCTTAGTTTAGCTTCTCTCAGCCATTTATCGAATAGGTTTGTCGCCAACCAACCCTAATCCACCATAAGAAACACACTCCATCCCTCATCACACCTTTCTTTCCCAAATAACAACACCAAACCTCCATGGAAG